ACAAGTTTTATAACAATAGTAGCTATCGACTTTCATCAACAAAAGTTTTTAATATTTTCACATTCCAATATTGATATTCACAATATTGTAATGAGTTTTCAAATAGACTGGGATAAATAATTTCTACTGAAATACACCTGTGTTCAAAAACTGCATAATATTACTTTTTACCCTGTAAATTTCGGTTTTATAAGGGCTAAAAGGGGGCAAGATATAAGATAATATCACACCCAGTAATGAGATAAAAAAAAAACTTTCATTAAATTACTTGAAATTGTAAGAAGTGTTTATCTAACTGAATGGATTATGTAGAGATGAAGCTTTAACTGGTGAAACAATAGATTTTATTCACAAGGCACTGTGTAGGATACATAAATCATCATTAATAGGTTTCCCATTGTTTTAATAATTTTTAACTATGATTCATCACATAATGCTACATCTCAATACTCAGCTACTGATTTTATGAAATTCAACTTTTAAATAAACTGTCTCTTTCATCATGGTAGTCCAAAGCTTCCTGGTGAAGAACGTTTACAAGAAAGACTGAATTTTGTTTTCTAAAGTCCACATTATAACTCTTTTTCAATGGTTTTCACCAATACCAAAGTACCCTAAGCCAACGACAAATATTAAATCGTAATGAGCCAAGAAATATAAACATAAGCTTTTTTATTTATGTCTAAATTATCATTCATAAAAAAATAGGCCAGAAATTAAATTTAAACCAGATGAAATTCTCCAGTCTCAAGATTATAACAATATTTGATTTGGTAACCAAACTGCATTCCTAATATAAAACAAAATGGCTGAAGCATTTGCCAAATATTTATTTTCTTGTAAATGTTTTTATTCTGATTAGCCATTATATTTCTCTATGTAAAATATTAGTAAAGACAGTCTGAAGCTGTTACCAAATTATATGACACCCGATTATTTCTTTACACTCACTAACTATACTGAATTAATTATTATCATTTGCTAATTATCTATTCCAGTTAAATGCCAACTCATGTCTGTCCAACCACAGTCCACTCTTTTGTTCATTTACATCAAAGTGCTTTACTAACTGCTAATAAAACAATTCTTTGTACTTTATGGGTACACTAACTTGTCTAAAAGTCAGTAATAGAGAACTATGGGTGTTTTAAAAGTTTCATACGTCTTTACCCTGATCATTAAACAAAGAATATCTTCAAGCTTCTTCATCAAATCATTAATGAATAATAACAACTGAAAATATATTACTTATTGAGAAATACAAAATGTATCTTTACAATACTACCAATGATTAATTATTCAAGAAGAATCACTGCCCAATAGTTCCTGTTATTGGGTGTGGTATTGACTGAATAATTAACTTTTTTCATAACGATATTTAATATACATTACTTAATAACAACATAAAAAAAATCTATAAAATTTGCCAAAAACAAAATCTAGTTTGGAAAATAAATACAAATGGTGTACAACAGTGTAATGCGAATTAAAAATTGAACAAATGAAAATTATTTTATAAACTGAAGATAAAAAATTTAACATCCAAATATTTGGTTCAATAAAACCATACAAAAAATATTAATTCAGGACACTCCCATTAGAAAATTACATACAACACACACACAGTAAGTTCAAGTTTTTGATTTATAATTATAATTAATTTCAAGCAAACAAATTACGGATTTACATGTACAGTGCTACCCTTTTATGTTGACACTGTTGAGCCCACGTAAAGTTTATTGACTTGACGTTGCCGTTTCAAGATGGTGCAAGTTACATTTATTATTCCCCCCCTATTTTTCTTGTGTTTTCCACAATAATACCACAGAGACACACATTGTTTAACCAGTACTGCTTGTGATACACTTAGAATCATATATAATATTTTGTTCATTGACTTTCAAATACTTATATTTGGACTATTCTTCATAAAAAATTACATTGTTATAGCTGGTCACAGATTCTCATCAACACATGTTGAATGATAATAGACAGACTTTCTGACTGATTACTTCCAGCAATGTCAACTCTCATTAAGAAATTGTCTGTTTGTTTTTCAAATTTCACACAAACCTACACGAAGGCTATCTGTGCTAGCCATCCCTAATTTAGCAGTGTAAGACTAGAGGAAGACAGCTAGTCATCACCACCCACCATTAACTCTTGGGCTACTCTTTTACCAACAAACAGTGGGATTGACCATCACATTATAATGCCCCCATGGCTGAAAGGGGCGAGCATATTTGGTAGGACGGGGAATCGAACCCGCGACCTGCAGATTGCAAGTCAAGCTCGTTAGTCACCTGGCCTGTTACGAAATGCAATTAACGTATCCTTTGGCACCTGTCATCCTATACATGTATTTTTTTTAATTTTCCAAAAGCCAATTAAAAAAATATATACTCTCGCTTATAACAATTTATTATTGTTTTTGTGCCCATGATTTTTTTTATTTTCAAAGTAGAATGCACATTAACAAACATCTCAAATTATCAAACACATATGGGGAGAGAAATTCCACAGATGAAATGAACTTTTACTCAAAATTGGCTCAAATATGAAACAATCATATTATATTATTTGAAATCTTTACTAAAAGTTTGCTAAATTTCATTAAGATAATTTTTCAACAATAAAAGTTATAGTATGTAAACTTATGTGGTGATGAAAAGTTTGGTCATTTTGACTGATCCGTATTCAGAGGGTTAGTAGGGGATTTGTTCAACAATGAAGCACAAAGACATAAAGAAACAATGAATGTTGAAGTGTTGAGATCAGAATTTCATGTCCACGTCAACCATTACTCTTATAAATCAACATCAAAACAACAAAGCACTTTTTGCTATAGTAAAGAGAATCAAGGAGTGGGAATTTAGAATTCAGTTAACAAAAGCGAGAAGTCGACTTAAGTGAGTAGCACTATATGTATAGTAAGTCTCCAAATCACCTGCTTTGTAACTGGTACAATTCCCTGTTCCAATAATTTACCACTCTATGAATCATTTCAGGGTAACAATTTTGCAATTTACATAAAATTCCTCTAGGCTTTATTGGTCGAATAAATGAGTAAAACCGTCTCTGTAGGTAAAATTCTTAGTAAAGCTCGACTGTTCAACTTTTGTTAATAAAACAAAAACCATTTCAAAACAGACTGATATACATTTAATCTATACAGCTGTAACTTTATGCACAAAACAATTTTGTTCTTTGCTTTCTAAAACTCAAATGTACAGGGCCTTTGCAGTTTAAAACTGTGCTGCTATGATGAGGCTCGTAACACGATGTGCTATCAATTTAACTCCTCCAACTGCCTCTCATAAATCCTGCACAGAGGACTGAACTATACATCCTATTAACTTAATTAAAAACATTTATTATTACTGCTCAGAAGAACTAGTCCTAATATAAAACATTTTAAGTATCACTGATTTTTCAAAAACGATACGCTCCTTTAAAAAAAATCAAAGAGGAAGTCATAATTGTCTGATCAAATTAAGAACCATGAATAGTTAAAACACACACTTATCAAGTTTGAATAGTTTGTTAGGTCTGGGATATAATTTACTGCCTAAAATCACAGAGATGTTTTGTCATCATCTTCAATTTAGTTCATATTTTCATAGTATTCTAACCTAAGCCTGAACCATAAAAGTTATACACGACCTCTGTTTTAGAAAGTATGGATGTAGCATTTACGTCTACCTGGGTGGATTTATGATTTATAAATAAAGTTTAGAAAAATATTGTACACTTGAGGCTTTGTGGGAAATGTCTTGAGATACTCCCTTGCAGCACAGTCATCATCAACTAGCTCTTATCCTAAAATTTTGTGGTCTGCATCGTACAACATTAAATTTTTAAAGTACTTTTATATCACATTGTAAAACAATATACTTCAGTAACCATATTTTGTTTGTTTGAAATTTCACACAATGCTACATGATGGCTATCTGCACTAGGCATCCATAATTTCACAGTGTGTTTGTTTGTTTGGAATTAAGTGCAAAGCTAAAAAATGGGCTATCTGTGCTTTGTCAACCATGGGTATCAAAACCAGGTTTATAGCCTTGTAAGTCCGCAGACATACCGCTGTGCCACTGGGGGGCAATTTAGCAGTGAAAGACTAGAAGGAAGGCAGCTAGTCATCATCACCCACTCCTTTACCAACAAATAGTGGGATTGAGCATCACATTATAATGCCTCCATGGCAGAAAGGCTGAGCATGTTTGGTGGGACAGGAAATCGAACTTGTGACCCTCAGATTGCATGTCAAACACACTAACCACCTGCCCATGCAGGCCTAGCTATATTTTGAAAACACACATTTGTTTTCAACTGTCCTGTTGACTAGCAGTTTGGAACCACTGGTCTACATCATTCATTATTAGTACAAATGACAAACAGTTACACTAAACAAGACAAATGTGAAAAAAAAACTTACTCTTTTGAATTAACATCCACAGACATCTTATGAAAGGCAGTTTCACCATTAGCACTTTCAAACGCTGCTTTTTCCCTTTCAAACGTTTTCCTTTTTTCCTCTAATTCGTGTTTCTGCTGTTCTAAACTCTTAGCCATATGCTCATGTCTACGCTGAAGCTACCAATGAATTGAAAACTGGATATAGTTTTTATCAGGTTTGAAGTTACCTCTATTAAAACAGGTTTATCCTGTCAACTAACACGTTTTGTAATTGAATAAGATAACACGGGTATCTGACAGATTTACAAAATTCTTTAAGAATGTACAAATTCCATCAGTTAACATATATATTACTCATATACAGATAATAAACAAGTTTGTTTGACTTTTTCCTACTTACATCTGTTTCTGAATCTTTTAATTTCTGAATTTTTTCTCTAACTTTCATTTCAAAAACCTGTTCCATTTCCTTTTCCATTTTCTTCATCTTAACAATATGTTCTTTCTTTTCTTCTTCCATCTGTGAAAAAGGGTTCCTAATGGATTAAAACAAAAGGTCAATTATTCCATCTGTGAAATAGAGTTCCTAATGGATAAAACAAAAGGTCAATTATTCCATCTGTGAAATAGAGTTCCTAATGGATTAAAACAAAAGGTCAATTATTCCATCTGTGAAATAGAGTTCCTAATGGATTAAAACAAAAGGTCAACTATTCCATCTGTGAAATAGAGTTCCTAATGGATAAAAACAAAAGGACAATTATTCCATCTGTGAAATAGAGTTCCTAATGGATTAAAACAAAAGGACAATTATTCCGTCTGTGAAATAGAGTTCCTAATATCATTGTTGTTTTATTTCATTGTTAAGGAAAATAAAGCCACATCAGAAAAAACAAGATATTTCCATTAAATTTTTACCTTTTTTTTTAAGCTGTCTTTATCTCTTTCATTTAATTTCTGGTCAACCTTCTATGAAAGATAATGAATCAACTGGTTTTTTTCTAACAGCATGTTCTAAAAATTCTTATATTTAATTTTTTCACAATCAATTTAAATTAAACTGAAGGATAAAGCATAGTAAGTTCAACTCTGATAACAGAGTTAGCACAGGATCACACAAAATAGGTGCAATGAATTCCAACAATAAAACAGTTACTTATTCTTAAGCGCTTGAATTTTGGTTCTTTTTTTAAAATTCATTGCATAATAAGTTCACTAACAATAAATTTATTTAAAAAAACTTCATTATCACATGCAAGCTGTTTTTTTTTAACAGAAGTCAAAGTTTATTCATAAACCTGAGAAAACTATTACTACCTATTATTAATTCCACTTGTGTTACATAATTGGAATTTTCTAGCTGAACAGCACCTTACGTGGACAGAGTTAAATCACCAGTACAGTGACCCTTAGGATTCAGGCCTAGCCTTCTCTAATTCTGAACTAATGACTAGAGGGAAGGCAGCCAGCCAACCAGCCAGTAGAAACCACTACCATAATGATTTTGTCCAATGTTTTGAAATGAAAAACAGGACTGGCCGACATATGTATAATGTGCCAACAAGTGAAAAGTGTGACATCATGTCTTGAACCTTGGGCCTTTTACTCTGAAGCCCACTAACTGCTATGCCACACACAATCATATAAGATAAAGTCATATTTTAAATAAGTTTATACTAAGATACTTTGTATTGAGCAGTATTATTTACCAGAGTGAATACATCTGAAAACACCTTGATTTATTTACCTCTACTTTAAATTAACGCTTCTTCAAATTATGTTGAAGCCGATACAGTTTGTTACATAACTTACAATTAACCACAAAAACCATTCATATACCCGTGCCATTATTTCAGAAAAACAGTAAAAATCTTTATAACCAATAAAATCATAAAACCTCAACTTTAATGGCAATACCATGAAGCTAGAAACCCAAAAAAATTTCGGACTTCAAATTTAATATTGAATAAGAAAAGTGTACGAAAATAATAAGAAAAGAAAAACGTTAACTTAACAAAACACAACAGCGAAGACCTGTTTATAAATTAAACTGTACAACACCATAGATCACATACACAAGATTAACAGCTCAAAACTTTCAAAGAGTTGGCTCAACAAATGCAACAAAAATAAACATCAGAAGTTTAGAAGAGCCTAAAATAATAATATGATTGTTTCAGATAAACAAGATGTGCCAGTAATCACAGGAGTAAATGTGCCAGTCATGCCATCAGAAGGTAATAATAAACATTTGTCACTTTTCTCATTAATTTATTTTCTTTGCAGCTTAGTTTAAATTAATAAATAATTTTATGGTTATTCTTTAAATCACAGGAGTAAATGTGCCAGTCATGCCATCAGAAGGTAATAATAAACATTTGTCACTTTTCTCATTAATTTATTTTCTTTGCAGCTTAGTTTAAATTAATAAATAATTTTATGGTTATTCTTTAAAATCTTTGTTTTTCCCTATTATTATTATTATTATTTTATAAAACTCTAATTAATGTCTTTCCTGTTAAAATTTCTATTTCCATCTACATATCATTCCACTGCTCTGTCACACTTCTTATTCCACACAATTTCCCTCTATGGTCATGGGATAATGTGGTCTTTATTATTATTACTGTTATTAATAATTACTGCTTACCTTTCTCTAAAATCCTATTTTTTATATTATCTATTCTTTTAAACAATTCTCACCATTGTGTTTTCTGTTAATACTTTTACTTCCTCTTTACTTATTATTCCATTACTTCTTTACTACACACACTTCTTATGATACACATTCTTTGGAGTCATGGGTTAATGCAGTCTTTATTATTACTGTTATTAATAATTCCTGCTTACCTGACACAGCCTTTATTAATTGGGTCACATGCTTACACCTTCATTTTTTTTTGCTCTCAATAAAGAAGGTTCCATCCGTCAAACTTCAAAGTGCTTACGAATTTCTTTAACACAGTTCTATTCATTTATGTTTATTGATGCATGAATGTTTATATATATGTATAAAAGTTTGAAATATTACTAAAACGTTAAAAGTCTGAAAAGCTAGGTTTGAGTTAAAAATAGTCCATTCAAAAAAAAAGGTGTAAGAAACAAAAAATCATTCAAAAAATGATTTGGTAAAAAAAAAGGGGAAGGGATGCAGAAGAACTAACTTATTTGTTATGACACTCGGTGCGCCATCTGCTCCAACACCTGCAAGTTTCTGGCACCTGTAGTTTTCATAATGCACATTGTTGGTGACTTCCGTAAGATCTTGCATATGAGTCCTGCAACAAAGAAACAATTCCACTTTTTCTCAACTTATCATATCAACTGAACAAAAATATACAGTGAGAATTTCTATACATTTTTCTAATAATCAGGGAAAATATCATCTAGATAGAATTTTTTACTTTTATTTCTTTATATTTTCCTGTTATTGGACTCTCCAACACATGTCAAACAATCTTAATGTCACAGAATCCACTTAATTCTCCATTAAAACATAAAACTATAAGTGAACGCTTACATCAAAGCAATTGCTGGTTGTTGAATTATTTTCACAATTATGACAATAGTATGTCTACTCTTTTGATTGATATTATTACATAATAACAGTCAAAAAAAGATTACATACGAATTCGCCAAAAAATATTAAAGGCAAGATAAATTTTGTTTATAACCTTAATTGAATATTAAAAGGCAAAATACATTTTGGTTACAACTTTCCTCAAATACTATTCTATAGTCTATAAAGCCAGAAGTATAAAATAAAATGATTGTACTTATGAAAAGCATTATAAAAATAACTCTAATTAGGCTTAGCATTTGTAAATTTAAAGAAATATCCACATCATATATCTTGAAATGCAGTATTTTACAAATGAATCTTGATACGACACTAAGCACATTCAAAAGTTAGGGAGGTAACAGAAGTTGGTCCAGATAAGAGAGACCAATTTCAGTGTAAACCAAAATGCAGAGATGTAGGTTTAATAACTGAGTTTTACATGTTTAACCCTCTTTATACTGTCTTGGTTATTTAGATCAAAATAGTAACCATCATGTAACCCTGAAGCTATACATATCATAACTTTTAATATAATAAGTGTATCTTCACCAAATGTGGCAAGCTCTTAGTAAATGTCTTTTGTTCACAAAATATCAGACTTTTTAATTAATTATTTTTACAAACAATTTGTCTGTGAATTTATGGAGTCAGAGTCTGAGTCAGACTCTGATTAGTCTGAATGCAAGGTGATTTTCATATTAAAATTCAAAATACGTTTTTCATCTTAAAGTTTTAAATGAATATCAATAAGATTCAGTGTTGATAAAAATCAACCCTAATTTTATCTAAGATTGTTGGCAGTACTTTACTGAATCTTGATTTATTCGAAATATTCAATTTAGAAACAAAATAATAACACACACAAATGACCTATAACTTTTATAACTCTAACTAAGCACGTTTTCTCAACACTACATACATCTTTAGCTCCATCCATGTTACTCACCTAATCAGCATGTTTCTCAGTGCAATAAAATCACAGTGTTCCAAGTTTTCGACTAGAAAATAAAAGTATCTCAGTCAACAACATTTCAACCAAAACACGGCACGAAATACAAAAGCATACCATTTACATAGGTTTCATAACGAATAATATTACTTTTAGAAGATTTCTGCCAATGATAATTTTGTATGTTAAAAGTACAGGGAAAGATGGTTCTTACACAGTTGTTAACAGTTAAACAACATTTTAAAAACCAATGAAAAATAACAACAAACTTAGAGAAAAGAAGGCTAGAAAAAATAATGGAGTGAAAGTATTGTTAGTGAGAAGAAACATGATTAATATTTCAACTATATAACTGCCATGATGATTGAGGTTTTCAATTTATTAAAGTACTTTAAATCTATATTTTCTAAGTTAAAAAAAATATGCTTTAATTGAAGATTTTTTTAAACAAGCCTTAAAGGCTAAAAATATTAATATGATCTTATAGAACTGTATAAAATGTACCAAGTTTTTATTTTCGTTTATCTCACATTATAAAATCAGGACCTCGGATGAAGACAGCTTGAAAAATATAACAACAAAAACTGGACTTTGTTCAGTATTACATCAAGTGACTTACTATAAGTTAAAATTTTCAGAAATCACTAAATCAAAATTTTATAAATTAAAACTAATGGTTTTCTGTTTTTGCTTAGATTATGGTGATTGCTTGAGAAATTCAGTCAGGAAAAAAAATTTAAAAAATCTAGGTTGGTGCTTGAAATGCTAAGTTTTTGAAAGTAAGAAATTTCAAATGGAAAAAGACAAAAATATTTTATTGTTTGTTTTGAATTTCGTGCAAAGCTACACAAGGGCTATCTGCACTAGCCGTCCCTAATTTAACAGTGTAAGACTAGAGGGAAGGCAGCTAGTCATCATCACCCACCGCCAACTCTTGGGCTACTCCGTTACCAACGAATAATGGGATTGACTGTCACATTATAATGCCCCCCACAGCTGAAAGGGTGAACATGTTTGGTGGGACAGGGATTCAAACCCACGACTCGCAGATTGCAAGTCGAGCTCCCTAACCACTTGGCCATGACGGGCTACAATATTTTATATATATATAATACATGTGTGTGTGTGTTACAAGTTTTAATTTTCTTGAATGATTAATTTTAAAGCATCACAGTATTATTTTAACTTAAGAGAACATTTACTTCACAGAGATAAGTTCATCATTTCAGTAGATATTTACTCAACACTCATGAACTGCAGTCACTAAAAGATTGTGAAAACATCAATGTAAACAACAATTTCATATAGTTTGTACATTGTTACCTAAATCAAGCTGTTCTTTCTTACACTTTCAGGAAAAAATTGTGTAAGCAACTGTTTCTATATGGAGTCGAAGAATATAATCGTTATCTTCGAGAAGAACTTACCTTCCACGACACCCCAAGGGTACCTCCTTCCTTGTACTTTCTTTCCATTTACTTCAACTATAGTGTTGCTTCCTACAACTGCAAATGGCACCCGTGCCTAGAAAAAAAAAAGAGTGTACATTTTTTTATATTAAAACATACATAGATTGTATGCTTCACACCAGTTCTCAATATGCATTAAAAATTAATAACAGTCACATGAATTCCCACAGTATCACCTTTCTCAATCATATATGTCAAAGAAACTCCATAACCTCTCCAGAAAAAGACAGTCACAAGTCACAGGAACTCCCACAATATCACTCTTATCAAAACAATCTTTAAAGAAACTCCATAAACTCTCCAAAAAAAAATAGTCACAAGTCATAAAAGCTCCAATTATGTCCCTTCCCTCTCAGAAAAATGTCACAGAAACTCCCAAGATATCCCATCACAAACATTTAGTCAAGTCTTCTTTCAAAAAATTTACAACCGATTTGTTGAGCTAATTGAAACATACATATGGAAATATTTAGCTGATCTTACTTTCATAATCTTCTGTAACTTTTTTTCTTCTTCATCATCACAGTCAGGAAACTCATAAATTTTTATCTTGTTCTGTGCTATCTCATTCATTATCTGAAAAGAATATAATCAAATATATATGTTTGCAATTATGTTTAGTGAATATGTAAGGTTTGGCAGTAAACTGATGTAAAGGGAGGGCAGCTAGTCAACACAATCCATCATCCACTCTTGGATTACTCTTTACCAAAGAACACTGAGATAGACTGTCACATTATAACACCCCTATATCTAAAAGAGAGAGAGAGCATGTTTGGTGACAAGGTTTAAATCCTGTGACCTGCAGGTTGCAAGTCGAGTGCCATAACCATCAGGCTATGCCACACCATTAATATACAAGTAGATAAACTGATAGTTTGTTTGTTTATATTATAAAATATAGCAGAAAGAACAATTTGAAGGAAGTGAATGTAGATTCGATGTTTGTTTGTTTTGGATATTCACACAAAGTTACTCAAAAGGTATCTGGGCTAGCTGTTTCTAATTTTAAACTGATAAACAAAGTGGAAGGCAGCTAGTCAACAGCATCCATTGCCAACCAACTCTTAATTGATTGGCTTTTAAATTTGACTGTCACTCTTATAATGCATCTATGGCCCAAAAATGCAAAGTGCAGTATTGTCACAATGGGATGAGAACCATGAACCTTTGGATTTACATTCTGGTACCCCAAATACAAGTCAACACCTGGAGTGAATATAGGAAACAACAATATGGTGTTAAATTTTTTTTCCTTTTTTTTAGCATTAATGATTTTAAAACTTAGACTTAAATTTCATAAATTTTAAGTATTTTTATTATGAAAAATATTGATTTTAAATACTAAAATCAATATTCTTCACAAATCAAAATACTTAAAATCAAATTTGTCTTTTCAATAGAGAAAGAGAGTTTCAATTTCAGACATGATTATTTTCCAAACCAATCATAACTAAGTAAACTCTTAAAGCTTTTCACCACTACAAAACTGATTTCAATAATTTGACTGAATCAAGCATACTTTGATGTCTTTTAACAAAATGCTCTCCAAATGACAATTACATAGTTACAGCCATCCTTACAAATAAGACTCTGTAAAAGGTAGTCTGATATTTTTTGAGCAAGAAACTTATTTTCATGTTCTTACAGTTTCTGTGTAAGTTATTCAACTTATGATATTTTTGTGTTTATTTTCTATAAAAATCAACATGCACACATTGAAAAACAACTATCACTTTTTAATAAATCAAGTGTAAAAGGCCACATTTTACCTTCAGTCTTATTTTTTTGTAATACCAGTAGATGCAGGTGTTTTTTTTTTCCCTATAGATGCTATTATGGCAGTATGACAAAATAACTGAACCAACAATAAACATAAAGTCACAAATAATGCTGGAAGAACTTGAAATTCTCACCAAACCTTTCCAGAAAATATCAAAACTTCTGACGACTTACCGTCCTTTTAAACAGAGTACACTCATCAGATGTCATAGTGTCAGCTTTGGCAATGAGGGGAATGATGTTGACTCTGTCATGTAGCCTCTTCATGAACTCGACATCAAGACTTTTTAAACTGTTATGGTAAGACAATCAATAAATTAAGGAATGATCAAATACCAGCTGCAGTGTAAGATTGTGATAACACACACATGATCAAATACCAGCTGCAGTGTAAGATTGTGATAACACACACATGATCAAATACCAGCTGCAGTGTAAGATTGTGATAACACACACATGATCAAATACCAGCTGCAGTGTAAGATTGTGATAACACACACATGATCAAATACCAGCTGCAGTGTAAGATTGTGATAACACACACATGATCAAATACCAGCTGCAGTGTAAGATTGTGATAACACACACATATATACCATATTTGCCCAAATATAATGCACACTTTTTTCCTCCAAATATCTCCCAAAAAATTTACTGCGCATTATAACCATGCACATTCAATTTTGTTAGGTATTTTACAAGAGGCTACCACTGAAAATCATTAAAGGTTTCAAAAAATGTTGCATATCCAATGCAATGGATTGGATGGATGATGACATGCTGTGAGAATCAGAAGAGGATGAAGCAAAGGTTCAAGGAAGTAAATGCAATGAATCCAATGGTAGCACTAATTCTAGTGATGACAAAGATATATGTGAAGATGAATGATTAGCTTAATGTACTACCACATACAAACTTTCCAATCAATTTTGTAAAATTGAGATGTAAAAAAAAATTCTGACGAAAGATTTCCAAAAATGTTGAATACATCGATAGTTGTTTACTGTATTTAGAAATCATTCAATACATTTTGTACAACTGATGTTTAAAAAAACAAATTTTCTTCAATTCAACCTTTCAAAATTGTGCATTATATTCGGGCAAATGGAGTATATTAAACATAAATGTACTATCTGTAAAAAAATAAGATCTCTTTCTTAATGGATTTCACTTTATCATAAAGTTCAGACTATCTTAAGAATTATGTAGTAGCCTAGATACAATTTTTTAAAAGTGCTTTATACAATATTTTGTAAATTAAATAAGAAACATAACAAATCGTTACATCTGATTCTTTGTTTAAATTTAGGAACATTACTTTTACAACATCCTGAAACAAGCAAAATGTAAAATTTTCTTGGTAATTATCACTGAGCTGGCATATTGTGTTCAGAGAAAAGTAAACAAAACATTGCCAAAACATATTTACTGAAATTTATTGCTGATGATACTAACCCATGGCCAGAAGGTGCAATGAAATAAAGACAGCAATGAACTCTGGAGTCTATTAAAGTACTGCGATGAACCCTAGACTCTGCATTAAGGTATTCCTCATATTTACTTTCAATATAGTTTGTTACTGGTTGCCAACTGTGAAGAAGACAGACAAATAAATAATGAGTTAAAAACAAAACTAAAAAAGTGGGCTGTAAATCTATTCTAAAATTAATGTTGAAAACCAGTGACTTTCACAAAACTTGGGTGGGTGAAACTTACCAATTACTGTTGTCTACAGCGTCACCAAAACCTGGTGTGTCAACAACAGTAAGGGTTAAATTGACACCATTCTCTTTCAGAAGAACCTTTGTTGTTTCAACCTGTGGAATGAATAAATAAAACAGTAAACCGATTTTGATATTATTAAACAATTAAACTGAGCCTGTCCTAAATAAGCCATGACATATAACACTTAAATATCAAAAAAGTCCAGGAAATCTTGGTTATCATTATGTGGACTCACATTAGACCTTCCAGTCGATATGCTTCTTTACCATTAACATTAAAATAATAAACCTTTAATACTCGATTATAATTAATCCACTTAAAATATAACATCTATACCATATATATAATAAATTATATTCCACGAATTCTTACAACTTATACTGATTAATTGGCCTCCAACTTTGGAATAAAAATTATATACAGTTTTCTTACTTGTACTGTTTTCTTCGGTCTATTGGATGGACCAGGATGTTCATTTGAATAAATATCTGCCAGAAACATGGAATTAATGAGGGTTGACTTTCCAAGACCCGACTCTCCTACAAGAGAAATGAATATAAACCTAGTTCAATCAAGGAATTAATGAGGGTTGACTTTACAAGACCTGACTATCATACAAGATAAATTAATATAAACCGAGTTCAATCAAGGAATTAATGAGGGTTGACTTTCCAAGACCCGACTATCATACAAGATAAATTAATATAAACCTAGTTAAATCAAGGAATTAATGAGGGTTGACTTTACAAGACCCGACTATCATACAAGATAAATTAATATAAACCGAGTTAAATCATGGAATTAATGAGGGTTGACTTTCCAAGACCCGACTCTCATACAAGAGAAATCAATATAAACCTAGTTCAATCAAGGAATTAATGAGGGTTGACTTTCCAAGACCCGACTCTCCTACAAGAGAATTTAATATAAACAATTATTTGGTGATTAAATCAACATTCTGTTTGACAAAACTCTAAAAAAGCAAATCACTAGTTAGAAAATCAAAACACTTGCCTTTAAAGCCTTTACTCCAATGTCTAGTTGCTTCCAAGTATTAGAACTAATTCTAAACTTTGTAAGCTATACCACTTGAATTCAGAGGTTTGGGGTTTATTCTGATTACCCAGACCCAAACATTTGGTATCTTATTGATCTATTCTTGCCCTCACCTACACCCTCTTTTAAACATGTGCTTTCATAACACTTAGTAACCAATTCTGAACTATCAATCTGAAAGTATTAAGTACAATAACATCAAAATACTTCGAATAGGAGACATGGTATATGAAAATACTAATGATGGTGGTCCATACAATTTCATAGTGTTGCAGATACAAAAACAAATACGACACATGGAAACATGAAAAATATTAATTGACAGCATGTTTTAGAGATAAAAAAAAGGTTTAGTAAAACAAATTTTCAAATTATAGTACTTTAGTCAGATCCCATGATCTTGTGTTATTCAGTAAAGATCGAGTTAGAGTTTCAAACCATAAACTTTACAGATCACTTGATACTAAATCTTTATTCAACTTTGATAAAAAAAAAATCAGATTTGATGACCGTATACAAAAGGATCACTTGAAGTGTACTTAACCGTGAAAAGTAATTTAATAGTTTGGCGACCATTATAATGTTCCATTTTTATTAAGCCCCCTCCCAGTAGCACAGCGGTATGTCTGCGGACTTACAACATTAGAATCCGGGTTTCGCTACCCGTGGTGGGCAGAGCACAGATAGCCCATTGTGTAGCTTTGTGCTTAATTACAAACAAACAAAAATTGTTATTAATGGTGGATTTAATCAACTCCAGTCACAAGCTATTTTCAAACATAAAGAATTATATTATTTTCTCCTCTGTTATTTTTTTCAAAATTATTCATATTTTCAAATATTGGTAATTTTTCTGTTAATTTATATGATTACAGTCGTGACTGGTAGTTCTAACATCAGGAAAAACGGGACGAAATCACGAAATAAAATGGCGTGATCTTGAGCACGAAACGATATTCACTCTAACTTTGATAACTTCATCTGTTTACAGTACAGGAAGTACTACAATTATTAGTAGCAAAATCAAATGCAACAATTCTAAGTTGGATCGGTTCACCAATTCCAATACTTCTTGTTACATCAAGATCTGGGAAATAAATTTTTAACTGTCTTAATATTTACAATACTAGAAGAGATTCGCAAAATAATTGAGGTCAATTTAATCCTTTCACAGTCGTGTCCATTTTATCTTGTCCCGAGAGCAAAATCTCACTAATGAAGTAAAAATATTATAAAGAAATTATTTGAACTTGTATTTCAGATTTTATTCTTTTAACAATATTATGATATTAAATTGTTTTATTTAATGAAGTTTAAAGAGAAATTTAACAAAACAACAAAAAAAAAGATCCAAAATATGTTTGAGACTGTAAATAAGCGCCCTCTAAGGCTAAACAATTTTACTTCACGATTTAAAAAAAAATTTCCCTTCCATATTAGCGCTTGTTCTGCCATCTATGATAAGCTTTTAATATGTTATACAAAAATGTTTACTAAAATATATTCGCACCCGCCTTTTATTTGCATCCGTTAAAATTAAGTGCGCGCACATGCGCATTTAAATCGTAAAGTGCCCTCGCATTTTCAAGACAGGCAAAACCTGAGTATTATTGTGACAGAAGATTCACAGTACTATATAAAAACACTAAGACTGCACTTCAACAAACAGTGAAGAATATCTAAAGATGTCCGGGTGCAAAATACTAAAAGCCAGAGTATAAAAAAATAATTATTCCGAAAATCAGCTTGGCAATTTAAGAAAACTAAATATTTAACACTCGAACACTAGAATGAATAAAACATAATCTATATGATGGTGGTGGCTTTGGTTAGTTTGTTTGATTTTTTCCCCCCAGATAACTACATGGAATAATTACGAGTCGAACTAGTTACGTTACTTTTCAAAACAGAGAAACTACTGATAAAGAATGTTCAGAACATCACGTTTAGAACGTCTTGAAAAATGCACTTGTTCACGTCCGCAAGATAGACGATATTAATTTAGTGGGGCCCTAGGCCCAGGTAAGTTTGGGAAGAATAATAACCCACTATTTCCTCTATTCTGTTAGTTTTCCGAACCATAATCTTGTTTTACTTCGGTGGCCGGCAGGGGCCCTTGTATGGCCAGGGTCTAGGTGGCCTATACGTTAATGCGTTACTGACAACATAATGTTATTGGCACAATTTCACATACTACCATAAAGTAATTTAATTAAATGGGCAGTGCCACCCGTCTTAGAGGTGCCACACGCCAAATCGCGTTTTCCTAAAGTCAAAACTTGAATCTTCACTGTCTAGTATTCAACATAACAGTACAATGAAATTGAACCAAACTACGTTTTTGTCAGCTCTTTAGACACGTGTTGTTGTCTGCCTGCTTCTAATGACGTATTAATAGCAAATCTTCCTACGAAGAAGATTGTATTCCCAAAATTAAATATTAATTAATATTCACAGAAATAATGAAAATATACTCATATATACATGCTTTGCTAAAATTATTTATTTAATTCAACATTTTTTGCTGTTTCCTACATTTATCTATTTGGTTCTGCGCTTCAATGCTACAAAAGTTGCTGTCAATCAAAGCTAGTGGGCGGTAACATTTCCATCGTTCCTTAACTTACCAGGGATTGAATGAAAGAATACGATTGGTTGGTTGATTGATTGTTAACGCAATGCTACAAAAGTTGCTGTCAATCAAAGCTAGTGGGCGGTAACATTTCCATCGTTCCTTAACTTACTAGGGATTGAATGAAAGAATACGATTGGTTGGTTGGTTGATTGATTGTTAACGCAAAGCTACACAATGGGCTATCTGTGCTCTGTCCACCACGGGTACCAAAACCAGATTTTTAGCGTCGTTTTATAATGGCAGCATGCGTGAATCAATAAATGTTGAAATTAATCAGTTAATGTAGCAGTATATTTTTCTTTATTGCTGCCATATTTATTGATATATTTATTTTTCGCATAACATATCCTCCATATAATGGCTGGAGACGGCTTAAAATGGGGTAAATGAAAAAAAAA